GAATATTTGGGATTGTGGCTAGAGATGGCAATTGTGACCGATCCGATGGATATCCGCACCGAACCGCCCCAGTCAAAATGGGAAAAACCGCGTTGACTGGGTAATGGGTACGGGGCGGGGAATACCCGTTTTGTTTTTACGGGTAACAGGGCGGTTACGGTTTTATGCATGCCCGCCCCATTACCTGCCCCGTACCCGCCCCGTTTATTTTTAGTTATATTTTTATTACATTCTTATCATTATTTGTCCCACAATTAATAAAAGATGAGATTTTTAATGTTCAATGTGTATATATGGATAATAGATGTACTAACTATAGTGTAAGAATGAAAGTTCTCAACAGAACTTAATAATCTTGTTTGATTTTTCGCGATTAATTACTTTTCAGATTAAGTATTTTAGGTTCAAATTAATTTAGGTTGTCATCTTTCTCGTCTTATAGATATATGAAGCTTTAAAGTGGCATCTGAGTCTAGCGTTGTCTAGGTGATGCCATTTTTCACCTTTTAAAATATTATTTTTTATTAAAATATCAATGACTCATTTAATAAAGTGATTACACGCGGTTACCCGCGGTTATAACCGTTACCCGTTGGGCGGTTATGGTTTGGGTAATAGTGGGTAATGGGCGGTTATGGGGCGGGGGAATTATCAAACGGGGCGGGTACGGTTATATGTAAATAGGGCTGGACTCGGTTCGGGCCTTGAACCGACCGGGCCTCGGTTCACCAAAAGGAGGGCCCGGGCCCGAACCGGCGGTGACCGGTTCCGGGCCGGTTCCGGGCCAGACCGGGCCGGTTCCGGGCCAGACCGGGCCGGTTCACCCGCCCCATTTTTTTTTATAGATAAATGGACAATATGGATAATAGATGTACTAATTATAGTGTAAGAATGAAAGTTCTCAACAGAACTTGGTAACCTTGTTTGATTTTTCGCGATTAATTACTTTTCAGATTAAGTATTTTTAGGTTCAAATTAATTTAGGTTGTCATCTTTCTCGTCTTATAGATATATGAAGCTTTAAAGTGGCATCTGAGTCTAGCGTTGTCTAGGTGATTCCATTTTTCACCTTTTAAAATATTATTTTTTATTAAAATATCAATGACTCATTTAATAAAGTGATTACCCGCGGTTACCCGCGGTTATAACCGTTACCCGTTGGGGCGGTTATGGTTTGGGTAAAAATTACCCGTTGGGTAATGGGGCGGTTATGGGGCGGGGGAATTATCAAACGGGGCGGGTACGGTTATATGTAAATAGGGCTAGACTCGGTTCGGGCCGGGCCCGGTTCGGGCCTTGAACCGACCGGGCCTCGGTTCACCAAAAGGAGGGCCCGGGCCCGAACCGGCGGTGACCGGTTCCGGGCCGGTTCACCCGCCCCATTTTTTTTTTTGATTTTTTGGCTTCTCTTATTTAACCCCCTACCCCTCCCCCTCAACCCCAAACCACCTCAAATGGCCTAAAATACCTAATCCAACCCAAAAATTAAAAAAAAATCAAAAAAAAAATTTATTTCTGCCCGGACCGGGCCCGAACCGGCCGGTTTAAATGAAGTTGCTCTCTTGGAATGTAAGAGGCCTCAATAGAGCCTCTAGACTTGTAGATATTAATAAATATATTAAGAAGTTTGACATTGCTTTTTGTTGTTTGTTGGAAACCAAGTTGAGAGATAGTCAGAAACTGGAGTTTTTTGCTACTACAAAATTGAGGGGATGGAAGAATGCGAATAATTTTGCTAAAATAGGGGGAGGAAGGATAGCTGTATTATGGGATGTAGCTAGAGTGAGCTATGAAATCCTGGAGGTTGAGGATCAATTTATCCAATGCAAGGTTAAGTGTCTGGTTACTCAGGTGTCTTTTGCTATCACTGTTGTCTATGCTTTATATACAATGGGGGAGAGGAGACAACTGTGGAACCATATTACTGCTCTGGAACAGTCAATTAGCCTTCCATGGGTCATTATGGGCGATTTCAACTCTGTTTGCTATCCAAGAGAGAGGAAGGGAAGTAAAGACCCGGCTGATTACTTCATGAAGGATCTTATGGAATGTAGGAATATACTTAATCTAGAGGATGCTCCTTCTATTGGAACTGAGTTTACTTGGACAAGAGGGAATAAATGGGCGAAGTTAGACAGAGTCCTGCTAAACCAAAACTGGAAATACAATGGATTGAATTGCTCAGCAGATTTTAAAGACTTCGAAGACATATCAGATCATTGTCCGGTGCTTACTTCTGTGTTAAGTAATGAAAAGGGGGGGCACAAACCCTTTAAATTCTTTAATATGTGGATGAAACATCCAAGATTTAAAGAGGTGGTTAAAAATGTGTGGGACAATAACATTGAGGGGAATGCACAGTTTAAACTAATGTCTTAAGTTGAAGATGTTGAAAGCTCCTTTGAAGAACTTAAACCGGGATGAGTTTGCTAATATCTCCTCAAAAAGCAAGGAGGCAAAACAGAGATTCAAAGACATACAAAAAATGCTTCTGATAGATCCTGAAAACCAGACTCTTCTGGAAGAAGTCAAGAGAGCTAGGAAAGAAACTACCTTCCTCGCTGAAGCCGAACTATCTTTCTATCAGCAAAGAGAAAAAACCAATCACCTCGTTGAAGCCGATAGGTGTACCGAGTATTTTCATCAGATCACAAAGAGAAACTCAGCTAGGAACTACATTGCCTCTATCAGGAAGGATAACGGTCAAATGACAAATTCATTTAAAGAAGTGACTGAGGAATTCGTTAACTACTTTGAAACTGTGCTGGGCAAATCTCAACCCTGTAAAAAGCTCGACCAAGAAGTGATGAAAAGTGGATGTTTGGTTCACAATTCAATAGCTGGAAGACTTATAGCCCCTATAACTCACCAGGAAGTCAAAGAGGCAGTTTTTGATATAGGAGATGATAAGTCCCCAGCCTGATGGGTTCTCTTCTGGATTCTTCAAAAGTAACTGGGATATGGTTGGAGAAGATTTTACCAATGCAGTGATGGAGTTCTTTGAGAAAGGAAAGATCCTTAAACAAATCAACCATACTAGTATAGCCTTGATTCCTAAAAGCAATCATGAAGCCTCTGCTACTGATTTTAGGCCCATTTCATGTGCTAATGTGACATACAAAACAATTTCTAAGATTTTGGCGGTTAGAATGGCACCTATTCTGTCAGAAATTATTAATCCAGCTCAGAGTGCCTTTGTTGAAGGGAGGGGAATTGCAGACAACATCTTTTTGGCCCAAGAACTTGTGAGAGGATATGCTAGAAAGTCAATATCCCCGAGATGCCTTTTAAAGGTGGACTTGAAGAAAGCGTATGATACCATATGTTGGGATTAATTAAAGGATGCTCTAACAGTGCTTGGCTTTCCTTCTATTTTTGTGGGCTGGATATGGGAATGTATTAGTACCCCTACATTCTCTATATCAATTAATGGAAGTTTACATGGCTTCATTAAAGGTAGGAGAGGACTAAGGTAGGGGGGCCCTATGTCACCTACCTTGTTTCTGATTTGTATGGAGTATCTTTCTCGACTCATGTGTAAGGAAACATCCAAACCAGATTTTAATTTTCACCCGAAGTGTGGCCAACTGAAAATATCACATCTAATATTCGCAGATGATCTTATGCTCTATTCAAGAGGGGACCTGGCTTCTATTCAAGTTCTTTTAAAGTGTATGGCTGATTTTCAGGAGGTATCTGGGCTATCAATTAATATAGCTAAATCAAATATTTTCTTAGCTGGGGTTCATGGGCAGGAGCGGGAGCTGATTCTGAATTTGGTGGGCATTCCGACTGGACAGTTTCCAGTGAGATACCTGGGAGTGCCTTTGGCCCCTAGCAGGGTGTCAGTAGCCCAATACTCTCCTCTTATTGAAAAAATAGCTAACTTTACATTGAAATGGAAAACAAATAGCATGAGCTATGCTGGCAGGTTGGAACTCATTCGAGCAGTTATACAAGGAATCCAATCCTATTGGATCCATGTTTTTCCTATTCCAGTGGCAGTCATTGAGAAGGTTGTTTCACATTGTAGACAGTTTTTGTGGGGTGGCCCTAACGCCAAAGTGGCTTGGGCAAATGTGTGTAGACCAAAAGAGGAAGGAGGGTTAGGCCTTAAAGACTGTAAAATATGGAATTCTGCACTACTCTCTAAAACACTTTGGAATATCCACCTAAAGAAGGATACTTTATGGGTTCGGTGGGTGCATTATGTATATCTCCGAAACTGCTCCATGTGGGACTGGATACCTCCCGATGGAGTGTCCCCCCCTTTTAGCAAGTTAATAAAGATCAGGGAGGCATTGAGTACACTATTGGGAGGGAAGTCAGGTATTAAAGGTCATAGCAAACCCTGGATGAACCTTATTTGGAAAATTTACATACCCCCCAAAATTCTCTTTTATTCTTTGGCTTGGACTGAGAAACAGACTACCAACATGTGATAACTTGTTATACATAGATTTGGATAGAGCATGTTGCTTTTGTAAGACTTACATGGACTCATCTGATCATCTTTTCTTCAAATGTGTATTTACAGGAGCAATATGGGAAGGAGTTAGGCAGTGGCTTAAGATCAAGAAGAATTCTTCTACACTCTTGAGCACAGTCAAGTTATGTTTGAAGCAGTATGGAGGAGCAAGATTGACTAGCAAGGCTGTCAGGTTAGCCTTGTGTTGCACTGTCTATTCAATTTGGAAGGCTAGGAATGAGCAAATCTTTGGACATAAAGATGGGAGTACTCTTTTAGATTAAGTTACATGTTTATCGTGTTCTGTTTAGACTTTACCCGTAAGTATGATTGAGTTTTGATTCTCCTTTTTCTAGTTCTCAGTTGCTATGAAATTTGAGTGACCTGATGTTAGTTATGTATTACTGTGAGAGAGTTGTTTGCTGTTGTCTTTTTGAAACTGTAGTATGGTTGCTTCTTTGATTAGGGAATGCCCCTCTAAATGTTGTAATCTAATTTTGGCATTTAATATATATTTACCTTTTTTACCAAAAAAAAAAAAAAAGTACTTAACTACTAAACGAAATATAAATACAGCTTCATAAATGTCTACAAATTAATAAACATGAATGAAATATGCACATATCCCAAAACTAGTAACAGCTATATAAATACAACTTCATAAATTTCCTTGCACGATTCACGTTTTAATAAACGTGAATGAGGGTGAGGGTAGGGGTAGGGGTAGGGGTGTTTAGATATTAAATATGCACATATCCCAAAACTAGTAACAGCTATATGTAATCTGAACCGTCGCCAAAATGTTCCAGATCAGGATGATTTCTGCCACTTCCTCCTGGTCTACTCGGATCCCTGCGCAAATTTTCAAATAAAATTAACAGTGCTTGGAAGGAGGTATGGTGTGTTGGGGAGGGGCCATGTAAAGTAGTCTACCTTGTTTGGATAGAGGTAAAGGAGGTCGAGAAAGGTAAGTGGGGGAAACTCTTAAATCCTAGGGCAATCGAGAAAGGTAAAGGAGGTCGAGAAAGGTAAATGGAGGACAAGTGGACAACTACGAAAGAGAAGGGAAATAAATGAAATGCCCTTATAACTTAATTTACCTCATAATTTGCATTTTGTCCATTAACTGTTCAACATTGGTTACCAACCTCACATTACATGACTTAATTTTACCTCATCTCACCTTCCTTCCAGACATACCCTAAGTTGTATCCATAGAACTGATTGTTCATTAATATGATGACAGATTCATCCCCATAGAGTATTAGAGTATGCTCATATATTTTGCATTATATTATATTATTATAGAATGAAGGGTTTTTTGAATAAATACTACTCTTTGTACAAACCAATGCAAACCTTGTCAAAATAAGGCTTCCTAAAGGTTTACGGAGAACAGAACAAATGAGCAAGTAGGAAGTCACAGTGTCTTACTGGAATGTCAATAACCTGGCACCTATGAAGCCAGGAAATTCTTAGGGTGTTGACGTTTCAGCAAGTTAAACCTTTTAGAAAACCATCAAGAAAAATAAACCTATAATACAGAGTTTTTCGCTTAAAGACTTGTTGACTTGGACTCATTTTATTCACACATCAGACCAGATCAAACCCCAGATCATTCTTGTCACTTAATTATTTTGGTCCACGACTGGACCAACAACAACATTACCGCGGTGCCGCAAAGGCTCCTTACCCATGTACTAAACCATAGAGAGACTGTTTATGGGTTAGTGAGCTACTTTGCATTATTCTATGACATTCTCAAGCCAAAAAAATAGTGAACCTTTGACTCCATTGGATATAGGTCACACTAGATTTAAACAAACTAGGCTAGGCTAGGCTAGGCTAGGCTAGGCTTGGATAGTAATAAAATAAACATATTATTATCAAAACAGATCAGTTCCTAAATATAACATCTCACGCTTCAGCTTTCCTATTTATGTACTACTCAGTTTGCCACATAAACAGTTATAAATGCCACCACTCCCTTCCAATTTTTTACCCAATGAATTGAGATATAAATGCGGGTACTTAACCTCTATATACAATTGACTACGAACAATACAATATGCATAAACATACCTGATAAAACGGCCTGGCTCAAAACCAGGAACACCTGGTGGACCAATTGGATCAAAACGAGCACCTGGTGGTACACCCCTGCACCAATTGGGGACTTGGGAGTTAGGCGGCTCAAAGTAGCAATGATTTAGGGTATCTTTGGATGGATAGCTTAGTCTATATCTTGATAAATAGAATATTTCTGAAAATGAATAGAGGTTTTTTAAATATTGTTATATAACACATTACGTCATTCCTTTAAATTTTAGTCTCAATTATATATCATACATACGCTTAGCCATCCAAAGCCCTCCCAAAACACAACTCCCAAACTAATCCTCAGGTTTAATCCTCATTGCCGATCCCCTTATCGGAACAACTATATTTCAAAAAAATAGATAAAAGAGTGTAAAGGGGTCTGTGGAGCATGGGATGCCAGGAAAAAACGTACTGCAGTCCCCTAGGAAAAGCAGCGTCACCACCTATCCTTGGGAAGAAACGAGCATCTCTGGGTCCTGAAAGAAATAAGAGTAACCATCAACTTTAGAAAGACCTACTTCAACATATGAAAACCAAACACCAAGAGCAGTCACAAACCTACGAGCATGCTTCCATAGCCTCCGGTATCTCTTCAAGCAAAGACCAAAGAACAAACAAGCTCAGTTAGAAGTACCGTTCAAGCAGAGCACTTAAAAATGTAGTTAAAAGAAAACTTAAGAACCAAGAAAAGAAAGCAGAGCACTTAAAAATGTAGTTAACAGAAAGCTTAAGAACCTGGTAGGGTAAACTCCAGCACCAGGTGCAGGAATAGTATCACTGCCGCCGAAAGCAGGTATTGGAGGCACAACATATCTATAAAAGTATAAAGACGGAATAAGAATTATCATTATTATTACGATTAAAACCATGAAGAATATTTAATAACACAAAATCTGGAAAATAAGCACTCCCATGAAAATCATTTCAGATTATAAACCACATTTTTACAATGCAAAAATGAAATAAAATACAAAAAATAGAATTGAACTAATGCAATGGCGTTCACCAAATAGTCCATTGATTCATACTGCCTCCGTCCCCTTAAGTTTGGGACAAAGGAGAGTGGTGCGGTTTTCAAGGAAAATAGAGTTATGTGGTTGATAATGAATTGATAAAGTGAGAATAAAGTAAGAATGAATTTGAGCCACACAAACTTTACCAAATTTGGTGTGGGACAATCTTAGTGGGATTTCCCGAAATGGAAAAATGGGACAATCTTAGCGGGACGGAGGGAGTATTTAGATACAAGTGAGCAACGAGATGCTGTACTCCATAGGAAGGGTATCGAGACACTTGAGAAAAACATTGGCATGTCGTGTTAACTCACAGTGAAGCACTTGAGTACTTAAAGTTAGCCCAGCATGGCATCTAGGTTTACAGGTCAAATACATCCATACAACAACGTCCAAGCCTTGATCGCAAGAGTTTGGGGATCACATACATCCGTCCCAAAAATTCGACGTAAATTCATGTCAAAATGGACTTAAAGCAATTCTAAAGGGATATGAATACATCAATTAAAGAACGAACTAGATTGTCACATGTTGACTCAATAATAGTCTACAAAATAACGCAGTTAAGTCAGAGCACAAATTACAATTACAAGTTACAATGAGTTCCTTTACAAAAAAAAGAACTTTTTGTAACACATCAACTAAGTGAACTAACAGATTTAATTATGTCTACACTTAATATTGGTTTCACATATGACATACTCCTAAGTTCCTAAAAGGATATGAGGGTCAAATAATTCAGCTAAAGTACCTCACCGGGCTGACAAAAGAATATATCAATATATAATAACATATAACAATACATAATTAAGTCGAACAATTCAAATTCTAGATTGAAATTACCCTGGAGGAGAATAACCCGAAGGCATATCAGCATCGTCTCTGATAACTCTCTTTTCAGAACTGTACATGAAATATAGCAAAGGAATTCATTAGAGACATTAAACAGGAATGGTCAACAACTTTATCTAGCTAAGGAAAAAACCTTTATATCACAAATAAAAATAACCACTACACCAAGTTCAAATAGCCGAATTGCAGCGGTTCAAGGGAAAATTAACCCTCAAAATTTTGTATTTATGTCCAACCACCAAAGCTACCATTATAATAAATTAAATATAGTAATTCATGTCGAGTTATGGACAAGACCATAATGGACTTCCTGTTTAAAAAAAATGTTTCAAGGCCTATTTATTCCCACTTCAGCCCTGTATGCCCCATATCCACTCTCAACACTCATATCCTTCATGCAGAGCATGTATCTTGGCTCTTCTTTCTCGACTCTCATTTATTGGTTTTCCTCCATACACATTATATCTCTCTGCTTTCCTTTCTCATTTCTTGTTTATTAGCTCTCCTTACACGGATGACTATCTCTTGTCTCTCCAATGTCCTCTCCCTATGAAAGGCATACTTTCGAATCTTATCTCTCTCACTTGTCTAACGGCTCTCTTTTTTTTAACTAAAGGAGAAAGTGTTGGCTTCCATTCTATTACCCCTAGTGCTGGAAGTCACCTCAATGAAGAAAGATGTGATCTCTTGATAAGCATAAGCATTCTTCTCGGTAAGACTTAAGATTCAGAAAACACAGAAAACAAACAAAAAGCATTTGCATAATTGATACTTCCTTCGTCCCATATTCTGTTGCAATTTCGCTATTCATTGGGTCAACACACTTTCTTTTTATTCTACGTTTGGAGCATCATCTTTTTACCATAGCCAATTTTGTTTCTTGCACATCAATCGAACTCCATAACTTTGAAATATATAAACTCTACCTTCAGTCAAATCATACACGGTACACGCCTACACAGTACATGGTACACCACAAATTGCAACATAATATAACAAAAAAGGAAATAAACACTTGCAGCTACCATATTTAAGCTGTGTTATCTAATCAGTAAGTACTCGGCGAGTATTCGCATGTTGAGGTGGCCATTCCGTTTAGCAATCCGACTCAGCCCGTCCTATTTTTCAGAGTTACTTGGCAAGTTTCTTGACTTGGGGAAATTTTTTACTCAGCAAGTCACTAGGTCAGTCATAATATATTTTGTTTTGGTTAAATCTGAAAAGTTTAATTAAAGAGGGATATTATGGAATTTATAAATAATGAGTGGGTATTTTACAAATTGGAAATTAACCTTAAAAAGTCTAGGTTTTAGAGTATTTCAGACATCAGCTCATTCCAGCAGTGGTTCCTCCTCATCTCTCGGTAAGTTAGTCTCCTCCATGATTCTATCTTCTTTCTCTTTCTTCTTGATTAGGATTATTATTATTTTATTCATATCTAAGAATTATAAGAATAACATACTCCCTCCGTATTTAAAAGATCGCTACGTTTGGTTATGGCACATGATTTAAGGTAAAATAGTAGGGGTAATGAATAGTATAGAAAAAGTAGGAGAGAAGGTGAAAAAGTAGGAAAGAGATGATAAAGAGTAGAAAAAGTAAGGGTAATTGAGTATTTTTAAAGGAAAAACTTACCAAAAAGGGAAAGTGTAGGGAACTTTTAAATACATCCCAAAAAAGAAAGTGTGGGAAACTTTTAAATACGGAGGGAGTATTAATATAAATTTTCCAATTTATGGGAGAACAAAGTGGAGTGTGGGTATTTGTGTGGAGGAGTGATTTCGTATCATCTTTTCCTCACATCTTTATTTTTCTTGTTCTCTTTTATCCTTATATTTAAAATATTTAAATATTATCTTTATCCTTTTTATTTAATCATTTTTATGTATATTCATCTCTTTTTATATTATCTTTTTTATAATAACTTATCTTTTTATCTTTATTTCTTTCTTTTCCTTTTCGTGGTGATATCATGTATCGATTCATGTTAGTCAACCCCAATATCTTTTGGGACTAAGGCTTGGACGTTGTTTTGTATATTTTTAAAATTAATTAATATAAGACCGAGTAATCGCTGAGTAATCTCGAGTACTCGGTCCTACTAGATACTCGGCCCTAGACTGAGTTGCTACCTAGTAGCAATTTAACTACTTAGTAGTTACCAGAATTGCAGAAAATGAAATGGTTTTCACATAATTTCATTTTCCAATGTAGAAGATTTTCACCTTAATTATAAACATGGTCACATCATATGAGAAACTTTCCATTTTTTAGCACGTTTACCAATGTCCCATTTGAGCCCATGCACCTACACTGAGGTCTAAACTAAAGCATATAAATCTATGTCTAAGATTCGTGTCCCAAGCTATAGCAATCTTCTAGAAAGCAACATATACGCTGAGTGCAAGTAGAAGGAAGACGCCTGATTTTAGCCAAATAAGCAACAAAAATTGGTCAATCACTCTGCCGGTCCTACTGCCCTAACTCCTAAGCCATTCAGGCTACTTAAAACACTTTTTAGGCTGAGAATGTGTCGTTTTATTCATACATTTTTCCTTGAACAACAATAAGTCAATAACAATAGTACAATACATATATGCTACATGAAATGTGAGATAGTTGATGCTATCTTTTATGATTTACAGAGTGTTGAGTCATCGACAATTGCAACTCATTTCATTCACAATCTTTACTTTTATCTCATCCTAATTGAATTGAGATCAACTTTTCCTGTAAATTAGTATTAGTGAATAACATGTAGTATACATTAAAATCATGTTAGATTTAAAAGTATATGCCATCTTGTAGGCGGCAGTCCACTGCCCCCTGGCACCCAATGTCTTCTATAACACTTGACTACAGGTCCAGTCGTCCAGATGTGAATGTCCATTACCTCTCTACTATCCTTATCTTTGCATCTACTTTGGTCTGTGTGTTCTTGATTACTTATTAATGCTTTAATTCCACAGCCTTAATCTGTGTAAAGTATGATAGCCTATTTTTCGATTTTATATTCTGTTTTTCTAGAAAATGTAAAATTTCTAATCTTGTAAATAATGCCCTAAAATCCCCGATTTTGTCCTGCTTTCTTTTCCCCCAAAAAAAATCCAAATTCCCATCGAACTTTAAATGATAGCCCAATGCAAAAGCTCTCCTATGCCAAATGGGCTGAGGTATGAACAAAAGCATGTCCTCTTAAACAAGCAATTGGAAGACCAAGTAACATTTACCTTGATGCCTGAGGGGACGATTTCACTGCAGAAGAGACCTTGTAATTGTTTGAAATTTTTGTTGTAATTTCTTCAACTAGCTTACTGAAATTCTTATAGTGGGTGTCGTAATTGGCATCTCCGTCCTCAACATAGTCCTGAATGCTGCACATTGCCAACAATACCAATCCCAACAGTTTATAACTGAATTATCAATACGCCTAATTCACTGAGAAAAGAAAGGAACTTACTTCAGTTCGAGATGATGACGCTCATTATCACCCTCCCCCAATGCATCAACAAGGAGTTTGTCATTCATAGCGAGGCACTTAACTAACACCTTCTTTGACCTTCTCTGACGGTGTGAATAAATGAAGGCGTATTTGTTCTCAAAATCATTCCAGTGATCGATACCGACCTCATCTAAATAAGCAAAAAAAAAAACGTAAACCAAACCCTCAAACAGCAACGCAAATTCGAATTGCAAATACTCGTTCTAGAGGATATTTACCACTGGAGGATGAAGAGAAGGGATCGTCACAAAAAGCAGGGGCGCCAGTGGCGAGGGTAGCAAAGCCAGAAGCAACAAATGAAGCGTGGACGGCAAAGGCCACCTTGTCATGGGGATTTCGGAAGTTTGGCCTCGTTGACCTGATCACTATCATCGCTGCTTCTTCGATCTCCATGCTACTACAATCAAGATTTAACGTTCAGGAGATTGGAGTAGGGTTTAACAATCTGATCAAAACGGTGCTTGATACAGTATGGTCAGTCAAAATCATATTCCTTAGTCGGTTTTAAACGGTGTACTGGCCGGGCACACAAACGGCTTTGCAAAATATAGGGAAGGTCTGCGGTACATACCTGACGATCTGTTATGGAAGAAGGGGCCGAAGGTCTGTCCAGAATATGGAAGAAGGTCTGCTGCGCTGGTCTTCAGAGGCGAAGGTCTGCTAGGCGGGATACGGAAGCATGTGGACGGTAATTCACAGACCAGACCAGACCAGACCAGACCAGTTCAGACCAGACCAGTTCAGACCAGACCAGTTCAGACCAGACCAGACCAGTTCAGACCAGACCAGATCAGACCAGACCAGACCAGACCAGACCAGACCAGCAAATTACAGTCCAAGTAAAAACATCCTTATTGTTTTAAACCCTCTAATCCCATACTAAACAGGGAGGAATAGTTAGGAAATCTAGTTTAGGATACCCATACTTACGTTTCTCGACCCAATATTGATTTTTAGAAGTTTTCAAATTTTTAAAAAAACACGAGTTAATTCTCTATATAGGTGACTCAAGACCATAAATAGGATTACATGTTTTTTCTTCCATTTAGTAGGACTATTTTATGTGTATTTGGACAAATATGCCTTTGACTTTTGAAAGATCTTAATTAATAATAAATTCATTTAAAAAAAAGACGTAAAAAATAATAAAAAACATCAAAATTTATTCAAAAAATTCGTAAAATATTTATAAAAAAATTGAATTTTTTTTAACTTAAAAAAAAATAAAAATAAAAAAGAAATAAAAAAAAACCGCCGCCTCTACCACCCCCAGCACCACCCCCTCCCATCACCGGTTGAAAATCTGCCAAAATTTGTAGTAATGTCATAATAATGGCAGAATCAATGATAATTTTGGCATTATGATGAATAAAAATTCCACTTTCTTGGCATTTTCAGAAAACAATGGCATTTTTTACAAATAATGGTAGAATATATACCAATCGTATTTATCCATTTTTTTTATTTTCTTATGGATTTTTAATATTTTTTATTAATTTTTTCAAAAAAAAAAATCAAAAACAGAAATCTGCCAACAATTCTAGTAATTTCATAATAATGGCAGATTCAATGAGATTTTTGGCATTATGAAGAATAATTATGCCATTTTCTTGGCATTTTTGGGAAAAAATGGAATTTTTTATAAAAAGTGTCATAATTTTTACCGGCCGAAGGTGGTGGTTCTGGGAGGCGGTGGGAAAGGTTTCCATATTTTTTAAAATTTTTTTATGATTTTTTACTATTTTTTAATAATTTAAAAAAAAATTAAAAATATTTTTTATTTTTTTATTATTTTTGTGCGTTTTTTAAAAAAAAGTTACGATTTTTTACTATTTCTTAAGATTTTATTATGCATTATTACATGTTAGTATGGAATAATACCCTTAAGGGCATTTTGGGTATGCTGAATTTGTTTAGTCCTGTTTTGGATGGTAAAAAATGTAGTGGTCCTATTTGTGCTTTTTTAGTTATTTTTGGTCTTACTTAGAGCAATTACTAAAAAAACATCCAAGATTTACATAACAAATTTCTCAAAAAAATGAAAAATTAAAAATAACATTTTACCTTGCTCTTACGTGGTACAATGGGCCTATCTCTTTAACTTTCTCATCCCACCTATCTCTAATTCACTCATCTTTTACGTGGTACACAACTAATGGATCTATCACTATCTTTTTGGAATCAAGGCGTTGTTATCCCTGGAAATTAGTAGCTCTAATGGAAATACGTATTAGGATTTTTATACTACCTCCGTCCCTTAAAACTTTGTCAAAGTTGACCTACACGAAAAATAATAAGATAAAAACTGTGTGGTTAATGTTTGTGCAGAGGAGAGAAAAATAACAGATACCACAAAATAATTGATTAAAAGGGAAAGTGACAAAGTTTTTTGGGACGTCTCAAAAAGGAAAGATGACGATGTTTTAAGGGACGGGGGAGTAATATTGTTTCTATCTTCATTATTCAAGAACTTAAAGTCATCGCACCTTTAGTTTTTTGACTTGTTTTTCATTTTAAATTAATGACTTGTGATGACTATTTATATTTCGAGGTGCACTATTGTATATGAGATAACGAGACCGTTTGATAACACTATTTTTCGGCTCATCAGGCTTATCACCCAACCTTTTCACCAAACATGTAACTTTTGTTTTCGCGCGTTGAATTGTGTAATAAGCAGAGAAAGTAAGGTTGAAGCTACTTTTCTAGCTATATTGGCTGAAGTTACTATAGATGATCATTTTAGCTATTTTTACATATCATTTTTTCTTTATTTTATTAATAAAATATATTTTAAATTTTTTTCTTCTTAAATCAGCAGAATCAGTCAATGCAGCCACTTCAGCTAGAACTTCATAAATTTCAGTAGAATCAACCAAATCAGCCGTTTTTTGTGCTACCAAACGGGCTCAAAGTATGAATTTATTTCTGCGTATCTTGATAATTTAAAATGCTCCAATGTCTAAAAGGATAATATGTGTATATATTTTCAAAAAAGTTGTAATTTTTAATATCATAAATACACCCCCATAATTTTTTATATTTATAAATACACCTCATAACTTGTAATATTTATAAATATACCCTCGTACCCGTATCCTACTATTTTTTGTTGTTGTGTCCCCATACCCAATTTTACGTTTCTGCGTTTCCGCGGTGCCACATAGATCCCATCGTTTCATTTTTTATGTTTCAAATCAAAATGCCATACTAACAAGCCATTTATCAAACACTTAACTTCAGCGTTTTGACCGGTTAAAAACGCTGACTTTGATCAAACCAACCAAATTTTGGCTGAAATGCCATTTACCAAACGTGGCATATAAGTGAGGTTTAAAATGAATAATAAATGAATAACATTTAGGACTAATATTTTCAAAAAAAAACACTTAGGACTAACAATTAAATGAGATCTTGTTTACATAGCTTCGAAAAAGTATTTACAAGAACACATGGGTCAGAGTCCTAGGGCGGTTAACAAACCGAGCTTTTATCGAACTATTCGAGTTCGATCTCGGTTTCGAACCTAACGAGCCGAGCTTAACGAGCTTTCGAACTCGAACCCGAGCTAAGTTTTAAGTTCGAAATATTAATCGAGTCGAGCTCGAACATAGTAGTATTCGGCTCGGTTCGAGCTCGAGCCTAACGAACACCCTGAAATTATAAATATAATTTATATATAATCAAAATTTAAATATAATTAATATGATTTTATGAATTTAAATATGTTTATTAATGAACCGAATACTTGTCGAATCATTCGAGCACGAGCCTATTAACGAGCATCACCTAAAATTTTAAATTCTACCATATTTATCGAGCTTATCGAGTGCTCGATTCAAACATCGAACGCCTATCGAGCCGAACACGAGCCTCATTTGTAAAGCTCGCCGAGCTTCGAGCTCGAACTCGAACACCAATTATTCCTTATCGAGCCGAACTCGAGCTTTAGGTGTTCGGGCTCGGCTCGGCTCGTTAACAGCCCTAGGTCAGACATACAAAAGGCAAATCTAACATGTCCAAATGAGTGTATAATACTCCCTTCGACCATTTTAGTTAGCAAAAAACTATTTTTTAAGTCAATAGTCTCTAAGTTTGACCGGTTATATTATTGATAGAGTGGCGTTCCCGTCCAGCCGAGCCGGCCTGACGTAAACTGCCGTTCGGTCGAGACCATTTAGGGCCCTTCCCGGTAAAATTTTTTGATGAAATTTTTTTAGCATATTTTTCATCAAGTCTAGTTTATGTCCACCAAATTTCAGCTAAAATCATTCGGGAAAGTAGTTAAATAAATTATTTAAGAACACTGCACAGTTAAATATATATATATAGACAACGCAATGTTTTTCAAAAAAACTATTTGACTGCTTTCTCGATTGAATTTTATCTGAAATTTGGTTGGCATAAACTAGACTTGGTGAAGAATTGGTGAAAACAATTTATCAAAAAATTCTACCACGAAGGGTCTCAAACAGCTTCGGCTGGACGGCGGTTTCCAGGAGGCTGGCTGGACATGAAAGATTGTCTATATTTATATACATAAGTATTGATAATATGAAAAAAGATCTAAAAATGTTCTTTGTCCAAAATACTAGTATAAATGTATAAAATTATTAAATTGTACATCACTATATTAGTTAAAATAATTGATCAAAGTTTATCATCTTTGAATGGAAAAGTCAAAGATGACTTACTAAATTGGGATGGAGGTAGTATGTACTAAAAGTTAGTTATGCGACGTTATCCAAATTCAATAATTTATTAGAAGTTCTTCACTCTTTGAAGTGAAAGTACTTAAGATATGTGCTGATCTCCATGTGTTAAGTTTTCATAGTTGTCAAGATTTCTTTGAAAAAAGGGATAATTTGGTCCTACTTTCATGAAAAAGTCAATTAGATCCTCGTACTTTTAACTTTGTAAAAACGTTCAATTGAGTACACATATTGGTCCACGTGTGCGCCACGTCATCAACAAATGGCTGACTAGACTTCCATATGTGTGCCACATCAGCAAAATTATTGATGATTGGGTTGCCACATGTGCACCACGTCAGCGGGTGACCTGTTGGCATGACAAATAACCTGCAAATGTACTCAATTGGACGTTTTTACAAAGTTCGGGGACTTGATTGATATTTTTAAAAGTACGAGGACCTAATTGACTTTTTCATAAAAGTACGAGAACCAAATTGACAGTTTTCCCTTGAAAAATTGAACTTTAACTTTTCTAGTTTCTCTCAAATGAAAAGTTGATAACAATACCAAATGATTGTTTCAATGAGTCTAATTGTCTAAATGATTGTCTTGGACAAGTCAAATCATAACACATTTAAACAAATGAGATCAAATTCAGGTAGAGGAGACCTAATACAATATTAGTTCGGATCAAATCAAACTAATACAATTACGAGTTAGTTTTGAAGGAGCTTCTCGTCTGTGCAAGTACAACGGGACATATTCTGAAATAACTTTCTTTAAAAAGGAATGTAAGTTTACACCTCAATTTTTAATCCAAAATTTGAGTTTGAAGCCCCTTTTAAACACCGTAGACATTTACTCCTCAGAAACAAACTTTAATCCACACTTTTTTCAGAGTTAGCATCCCATTTTAAGAGATTTTTTCAACTCTACAATGCAAATATTAATTATATTGAAAAAGGGATGTAAAGCGTAAACACA